ACTGGTTATTAAGTCCATCAGTACATAATACATTTCCTTACCCCCTATAGCTGGACCAATGATGAGTCCCACATTCCATGATGTCAGTAAGACTGACATTGCCAATGCCTTACGAAATAAATCAGGCAAAAAATGAGTGAATAATTCAATAATAAATGCAGTGTGTGGGTATAGAAACTGTATTTAAGAACTCAGCATCCTTGGAAGTGGGCGACCCTAAAAGCCGGAATGGCAGAAGAGCGGAATGGCAGAAAATGACCCCAAATCCTAAAACACAGAACAGCAGAAAATGACCCCAAATCCTAAAACACAGAACAGCAGAAAATGACCCCAAATCCTAAAACACGGAACAGCAGAAAATGACCCCAAATCCTAAAACACGGAGCGGCAGAAAATCACCCCAAATCCGAAAACACAGAACAGCGGAAAATGACCCCCAATCCTAACACGGAACAGTGGAAAATGAACCCAAATCCTAAAACATGGAATGGTGGAAAATGACCCAAATCCTAAAACATGGAACGGTGGAAAATGACCCCAAATCCTAAAACACAAAATGGTGGAAAATGCCCCCAAATCCTAAAACACGGAACAGTGGAAAATGACCCCAAATCCTATAACATGGAATGGCGGAAAATGACCCCAAATTCTAAAACACAGAATGGATGTCAGGGTATGTTGCACGAATTTTGTACAAAGACACTCAAGCATTTGGTTCATTCATCCCCACAACGATAACGCACGTTACTAAAATTAAGTGTTATTAATTTTTTTTCTTTTTCTGAGTGGTATGAATAATAATGAATCTTTAGACATGAAAGATAGCTGCATTTTCACGTTGTAAACCTATTTAGTTAGCTTTTGTTATGCTAAATTTGCCACGAGGTTTAGTCGCTGCATAAAAAGTTACATAGCGTGTGAAAACTAACTTGACATATCACATTACAATAAACAATTGTAACTTTGATCAATACGTTTCCTGGTCGCGTCTGCATTGATTTAATACAACAAAAATATCTTAACCGCTTGTAAATGTGAGAACATCACAGGAACCTTTTCAGGGTTCTCAAAATGTAATGACGTTTATCCCCAGCTCCAAACTTAGACTAGCGTGAGAGCAAGCCCTCGGTAGGAGCCCTTCAATACCAGGGTTTCTTTGTCCATGAACAAATTTTGGGCCTTGAGTAACACTAGGTGAAGAGAGGATTGCAGGGGGTCATGCACGTGGGAATTTCTCATGGTGTGGAAAAGAAAGTTAACAGAAGGAATCAAGAAGAATTTGAAGTATTTCTAGGCGACCAGGTGTCCAAAACACCACCATCCAATTATTAAATTTATGGCTTACATATCAGTGGAAGAAATAACCTTTCTGGACAAAAAAGAGGCTATTTCACCAATTCGTTTAGCAGATTTCTTCAATCTGTTCCTCAACAAAAATTAATTGCAAATCGTCAACTCTGTGGCCATGAGAAATTCCCACGTGCATGACCCCATTCAAACCTCTCTTCACCTAGTGTTACTCAAGGCCTAAAACTTTTTTGTGGACAAAGTAATAATATACCTTTAATTATAGTTAATTTATAGTCTACCGTTTTATACATGAGCCTCTGGCTCGGGCAATTGGGCAACCATGCCTCACGTTAGACAATAAACTCTGATTGATTGATTGATTGAAATAGAGATTCACTCCACACTTACCAAGCTGCTGTGCGTCCAATAAACATTGAAGATGCTATAAGACCCGCAAAATATCCTGTGTCTTCATCTGAGATCCCAAAACTCTGACAGAAAAAAAACAGAGTGACATAAAATAAATACACTAGACAAGTATAACTTTACAAATCCTAGTTGCATAATTTATCGAGAAAAATTCAAGACTTGTTTACACTTTAGGTAACATTCTGTAAAATTTTAAAACACACTCAAGCAATATTATATTAACTGGTACATGTAAATAATTCATATGATATTTACATTTTCCAAAAAAGAAGGCATTGCTAATGCTGCTGATATTTTTAACATCAAGTATAAAACAAGCATTTATTCACTCCAAGGCTTTTAAAAAAACATATTGAGCTAATAAGACTTTTAGAGGGCCCGGTAGTTAACCTTCCTTCCCTGTAATGCTAAAACCTCTTAACATTTCCAAAAATTAAGCTTGCAGTCACTGAGTTATATCTCACCTTCACCATAGCTGGTAAAAATGGAAACAATATCGTGATGGACATTGCAGAACACAACTGAAAATAAGTTACATAATATTCATTGTAAATACAATTAAAGTAAAATACTAAATGAAACTTATAATAAAACTAGCTAACAAACAAAAATTGTTTTGACTGTTGTCAAAAAAAGTCGAAGTGAAAATGTTTACACTACCTAAGTCAACACTAAAAACCCCAGGTGTATATATTAAGCTTACTCTAAGTATTGACTGCAACTAAACACATGTCTTTTTTGATAATTAAGTTTGATGGATTCTCATTCACAATTTCTCCCAAATATCTAAAATTGACTTCGTTCCACAACTGCCATCCACTCTGCTAAGAACTGATGATATTTGAATGGAGGTCTGGCTTACACTTATCATATTTTGTGGATCGTATTTACTCAAATACGCACCATGGCACCTACTGAATTCTTTGCACCAATGTGTCACTTGTTCAATTTTGGTGCCTGTTTGAGAGCAGGGAATATTCAAAAACTGGATGCCACAAATAAAATTTTCTCTTTACTTTCCATCTGCATAAGAATTTACAATAACTAACAGAAGTTTCCTTTAATTTTCACCATGACACTTTCAATTTAATGAGTGGTGGTGTCTCCTCAACTTTGACCACACTGTTTCCCTCTTGATCTGAGTTAATAGTTCTAGCATAGGAGGCTATGCCTCTTACACATGAATCTGTGCAATCAAAAGAATTTGTTTCTGGGTTCCCTTGGATATCTAGCTGTATATTAAGTAGCATTGTCGGCTTCTCAGGTACTACGTCTTTCTTTGAATCAGTGAATGGTACCATCATTCAAATCAACTGAAGGGAAGTGAAAGGCACAACTTGTGGAAGAATTACTGGTACAGATAGCATTTGTGGGTAGCTTAGCCTACACATCTAGAATCTATAATGATTGCAAAATAGCTCTTGATGGAGGCTTTGAGATTCCAAGCAGCAGTTTTGTCATGTACTGTAACTTTCCCTGATTGGGCTATTTATTGTACTTTTCTTAGCAAGACCTCAGAGTAGTGTACTCTAATTGATGTCTGGTTTCTAAAATTTGTACTTAGTGCAAACTCTAGGCATAGTTGTGAGATCATTCTCTCTTAGGATTTTGATGACTCCGTGAGCTATCTCCTAAGTGACATTTCCCAGAATCCCAGGCTTAGTTACAGCGTATTGTTCAATGCACGTGTTCCAATATTAAGAACAGAGTCAACCTGGGCAATCCATCCATTTCCTAAAGTTGCAACAACTGCTTGATGTTGGAATTCTTGTTCCAAATCTGCAACTTCGCTTCCTTAAAGGAACAAAAAGCAGAAGTTGCATGCTTGGTCAGCAGTCAGCCATCAGCAAAGATGGAGGGTGGCCATTTTTTGCTCTCTATGAATTTTCGATATCTTCAACCTAAATGTACATTTCTTATAGTACTGTTTCAGGAATTATGTACATGCTGACAGCTTTTCAGGTCCCTATTGTAGTGTTTTTTTATGATTCATTTATGTTTTGAAAACAAAATGCCAACAATCAAGGAATTTTAATTGCTCCTTGACAGCAAGCATCAACCAATTCAAGTGAAGTTGGATGATCTTTTCAAGCAAATAAATGATAATTACACAGCTCTAAAAACAAAGCTTGATCTACTCAAAGCAAGAAATGCCAGTCTAGTAGCTGAAAATGCTACTCTAGCTGACTAACAAATTGCAATCTTGTGAAACCTGGACCTATATTATGGAATGAAACTGATGAGAGATTTAAGATTCTAATGCCCTATTCATTCAAAAGAGAATTACTTATGCATTTCATTAATTTGAATTAAGTTTTATTACTAATTGTTATGTTTTAGCGTTTCTGTTATTTATTTATTTAATATTTCATTTACTTTTTTATTGTATACATGTTTCAGAATTATTTGTTCTGTAATCTATTTCCTTAATAAGAATTTAAAATGTTAAATGTAAAATGCCTCTTTTCTGACCTTATATTTATTTTCAATTAATATATGGTGGTCACCCAACCAGTTTAGCTCTTTAGTTATTTTGGGTGACCAGCAACTTTATTTATTTTTAATTTATTTCTCGTTTAATTTGTAACTAATTAAAAGCAATTTTACAGTTCAAATAAACCCTTTCTTGTCTTATCTTGTCCTGCACGGGAATGCTCACGTGTTCGTTAGAGACAGAATGAAAAAAAGTTTTAAAGCATTGTCACTTTGATCATCTGCATTCGCTAGCTCTTACGTTTTTAACCTCCACTCTTGCCAGCGGAATTCATTTCTCCAGTATAATTTTGGCAAGTATCATGGTCCAGCAATTAAATTATCAGCGTCATACCAAGTAAACCTGACCTCAATAATGGATGCCACCCCATGTCAAACGAACTTAGATAAATATTACGTAACCAAACCAACCTGAACACCAAGGGAAACTAATAGTGCTGATTTGCTCTGGCGAGGGGTAGTGCTCGAAACGTCCGCTTTAGAAACTCTTTGCTGTGGCCAATTTGTGTCATCAACTCAGTTGATAAAACCAAATTATCTGGTTATACCTTTCACTGATCACGACGCAGCACCACAGTTTCCGATTAGAAACTTTAATACCCCCTTTAATCACTTATGAGTGCGTTACATTTCTTTTACAATGCTGGAAATGGTTTACTCCCTTAATGTTTAAGTCACCTACTGTCTCCTTAAAATACTCTAAGGTAAGCTTTCAGAAATATTCATAGTAAATCGCGCGTTGCAACCGATGAACTTAAAGAAAAAAGAAGCAGACGTCGTGTGCTCCTGCACGTGAATGCTCACGTGCTCCTTAGGGGCAGAACGAAAAAAACTTTTCAAAGCGTTGTCGTTTTGATCATCCGTATTAACTAGCTCTTATGTTTTTTTACCTCCGCTCTTGATAGCGGAATTCATTTCTCCAGCATAATTTTGGCAGTATCATAGTCTGACAATTAAATTATCAGCATCAAACCAAGTAAACTTGACTTCAACAACTGATGCTACCCTATGTCAAACGAACTTAGTTAAATATTGCATATAACCAAACCAACCTGAACAGCCAGGGAAACTATAATAGTACCGATTCGCTCTGACGAGGGGTATCACTCGAAACGTCAGCTTTAGAAACTTTTTACGGTAGCCACTTTTTATCATCAGCGTCAGTTTATCATATGAAATCATCTGGTTATACCTTTCACCGATCATGACGCAGCACCACAGTTTGAATAGAAACTTCAATACCCCCTTTAATCATTTATGAGTGCGTTACACCTCTTTTATAATGCTGAAAATGGCTAACTCCCTTATTGTTTCAGTCAGATGTTGTCTCCTTAAAATACACTTAAATAAGCTCTCAGAAACATTTCTATTAATTCGCGCGTTGCGATTGATTAACTTAAAGGAAAAAAGTAAATACTTACTGTAGAGAGGAAAACGATGAAGAAGAGCTTCCAATTCAAAGAATTTGTTCCCGGAGGATAAAATATTCCACGCAAGAAAGACATTAAGAAATTCATTGTGGGTACAACAACAACTTCCTTCCTAAGATTAATCACAACTGCTGCCGATGCAAAATAAAAACAACTAGGTACATATGCGTAACCTTTGAGGTCATGCCACTCTCGTTACCAATGTTCACGCAACTTTGCGAAAGAGTTACGTAAGCAATTGCTAACGTCACATGACAACGTTGCTCTTTTCTTCTCTTCAAATACTTAGTACTTTCCGCCTTTTTTTCCAACTGAATTTCGGAGAGATGATAGAAATATCATGGGGAAATAATATAAAGTGAGAAAAATATAAAAAGAGAAGTTTTTTTCGGTCTGATTTTTCATATGAAAAAGCATTAAACTAGGTAAGACAATCTGATGTTATCCAATGCACAAGTGACACATTACATATATATGACTCAGCAGTATGCATGACTCAGCTATTACCGTGTTTTTTTTTTTTTTTAATCAGTTTTCACAGATTCAGTGGTTACCAAAAAGACACCTGTATGAGACCAGTTTCTCAGATTATGAGCGAATGTTTTCTTCGACTATCCCTGGCCTCTGTAAGGGAAAATAAGAAGATTTATTACTTTTTTGTCGGCCCAGACAAAGGTTCAAGGTTTACGCTTAAAATACTTCCTCAAATTCAAATTTGTCAGTCAAGCAGAAGTGTCCCCCTCCCCCCAGTCCCTCGCTCTCCCAAGTCTGATAGCTCGCCCAGTTTCACTCCTAATTCTGAAATTCCACTCCAATTCTAAAACTACACTGCAATTCGAAAAGCTTTCTCTGAATCTTAAGCTCACTGCAAATTTTAAGATCTCGCTCCAAATTATAAGACTTCATTCTAAATTCGATCGATATGCTTTAGAACTTTCACTTGATTCTATGCACCTACGTATACCCTGCGTTCAAGGGGAAAAGGCGACTCACAAATCTCTGTTAAACTGAGATCCTCAGCCTATCAAGTCCACAAAAATTGCAAACAACATAAAAATCGCCTTTTCTGAATCGATATGGAATTAGGAGCAAACTTGTGGCCCTCCGCACAGAGCAGCCGGCCTCCACTTAACAATTGGTTCATGCTTTAGCGTGCACTATTAAGTTATGGAGCACGCGGGAAGTTTGGAGGGCACGAAAGAAGCGTAAGAGTTGCCCGAGGCGATAGCCGAGGGVAACTCGAGCTTCTTGAGTGCTCTCCAAACTTCCCACGTGCTCCATAACTCGATAGTGCACAGCTGAAAGCATGAACCAATTGTTTTAGAGCATAGCCGGTGGAATTGTGCATCAAATCCGACGCGAAAAACGGACAACAATATCAGTTGAAGCGAATCGTCACGGCGCTGTTTCCGAGTCTCCTTTTCCTTTGTTTTTCTCTCTTTCTGCCTCATTTAAGAGCTCTAGCCCAAGGGAAAAGGTCGAAACATTGTTTTCGTTTTCGGACTAGTAGGCCGAGTTTCTGTTTGTATCCATTATTGTCGCGAAATATATTATTTTTCCCCGCGCTAACAATAGCCGCTCGCGCAAAAAAAAAATTTCTGGCGAAGTCGGATTTGCTGACGCTATCAGCGTGCACTATCGGGATTTTGAGCGCGCTCACGTATAATGAATTTAATTGCGCGACTCTGCTAGCAATGTTCTAAATTCCATGATACTCGTTCTCAGACCCGACTTCCGAATCATCAATCTTAGTTTTACCGAAGGCAAGGGTTATGAAATTCACCTTAAAATTTATAGCGGATGGCTTTTGTTTGGTTTCTTCAGTCTCTCCGTACCCAAAAGATCGTCATGTTGCTTCCCACAAAATATGGTAAATAAATAGATGTAATGAAATATATAATCATTATGCCGGGTAGTTACTGTTTAATGTTTTAAAATAATAATGCTAGATATAAATAAAATCAAAGATAAAAGACGAAAGAAAACACTGGGCAATGTGCCTAACCTTAAATACAACGTATGTACTCTTCTCTTTCTCAAAAACAAAAAGCAAAACATATGGAATCAAGTCACAAGTACAAAGATGACGAACAAACTGCTCTTCACGTGACGAGATACACACAGCTTGGCGTTGGTATCAGATTACTTCATACCATAAAGCAGAGCATTTGGCGTTTCATACCAAAGCGATTCACATCCTCCGTTTGTCTTCAGAGTATCTATTTATTGGCTTTTTAGCGGATAACTACTGAAACTCAAACGTGAATGAGGTTAAAGAACCGTAGAAGACAAGTCTCAGTGATTTGAGGTAAGATGCTCGACGCCGGACAGTTTCGTGCCACTCAAGAAAGGCAATAAAATGGTCAATGGCGTCTCTTACATTTTGTCTCGTGGTTTTGGTTTCTTTCATCTTTACCAAAACTTTGCCTTGTGGTCTAGTTGTAACCGTCAAGAAATCGTTTGTTATATGGTCATGGAAGAATTTCCAAGCGAGTGAGGAATCGTTTAAATTACAGACATGATCCACTTATGTAATTAACACTTTTAATTTGTAATCGCTAAGGAAATATGCAGGTAGCTTATTTGACACCTTTCGCAAATGCTTATTCAAAGAGAAGGCACAATTGTGTTTGGTGGTACAGTTTGATCGGATTGGTAATAGGCAAACTGTACATGAAAGAGACACAACGTGTGGCAAATTAAAGCTGAAGCGTGACCGTACTGAAATATAATTTCAACGTAGGATTAAATAGCGTAGCATAGTCGCTCTCCTTGTGGAGATGATCTAATTTGTTGAATATTTTCGCAGAGCGATTAACTTACAAACTGCTATGAAGTAAACAGCTATAACTTAGCTGTTAAATATAATATTAAGTTGTAGCTTCTATGCTATCGTATCTACAGAAGGGTGTTCTTCGTTCGCAAAAGCCTCTGCGTGTTTGAAATTTAAGACTTAACAGTCTGGATGAAAATACCAGAAGAAATTTGGACAGATTGTGTTACACAGACTCCAATTTGTTTTTGTTTTTTAGTATTTTCAGTTGGGTGTGTTAGAGTGAAGAGGAGGCAGCCTAAAGTATATTTACATTTTTGATGAACTTACCTTTTGGATAAAACTGGACTTTAAAGATATTGATTAAAAAATTTTCCTCTGTACATAGCCCAGACATTTTCTCTGCAGATAACAGTTTCTGTAGCTGTTTGCCATTGTTTTCAAAACTCTTTTCCCAAAGTGAGTATTTTAATCTCTTCTTCATTCCTGTTTCTTTCAGTTGTGTCAATTTTTATGAGACAATCCAGAGCATTACAAATTAGCAAATTAAAAAAAAATACCCGAAGCTCTTTTGCAGCTTCCAAGGATATTTTGAAAGATGTAACCATGGCAACTTTGGAGCTCAACTTGAGAAAACAATGGCAAAATTTTCCCACTTTGGTCAGGTAATGGATATTAACATGACATGTTATTATCCATTACCTGATTGGATATTAACGTGACCAATTTGTGTAATCAGTGGTCCCCTCTAAAGGCCTTACCATTTGACCACTTGAAGTCATGATAATACTATTCTTGTCAAATGATGAAAATTATTTCATGGAGTACATGATGGAAATCAAACTTAAATCTTTCATTAGAATGATAAGTGTTGTGAATAGGTTTAAGATGGCTGAACACAGTTTTTGCACACACTTTTGCTGATGCAATTCAGTGCACACACAAGGATTGCAAAAAAAAACATGCCGTCAATAGAGTGGTCATATTATTTACTCACACGCACCCACACTATCTGTGATATTTTTCTCTAGTAGTTGGTGCAGTGTATTGAGGGCTTAAATTTTTAATCACAAAGATATGTTACAAAAGTTAGTGGTGCAAAGAACCCAGCAATTCTCAGCTTTTTCTTCATTACTAAAAGAACCCAGTTAAATGCAGCGCATGCATAGTAAGTAAAAAAATTGAGATTGAATGGAAAATTTCTTTCTGGAAATATGTCTATTTCATAAGAACCACTCATTAGAATTGCACGAAATTTGGCATGAAAATACTTTAGGAAATAAGTAACTGGAGTATCAAACACAACTGATTTTCAACCATGGAAATTCTAGATAATCGAGTGAATCTTCAACAAGGGATAATTAAAGATCTCTCTGTTAAATTGTTAGCAAAATGGTGTTAACTTGTGAGTATCGTTACAGGCTTGTAGCATGCAAATTATAAAGAAAATCTTATGACTAGATCTTCTACAAATAAACAAAACCGATTTTACAGGCCTGTTTATATTTATTCATGTTGCCATAGCAATGGCACATGCGTCAGCTTAACTATCAAAACACCAAAGTTTGTGCTGTTAACTTACTGCCAGTTTTGGCGACTGAAAGATCAAGGGTTTTAGAGAAGATGGCAAAAGAAACGCAGGTATCAAAAACTGTGTTCAGCCACCTTAATGATTTTGATGCTGTTACTGACTGTGTTACAAAGCTGCTGTTGTTGGATGTTGTCTGACAGAAATGAATGTGAAATTGGGTATGTGTAAGGACTGATATATGAACTATGACGAAGAAATTGAAAGAAGAAAATGAACTTGAGGATGTAATAAAATGATCACGTAAGCATAAATCATAGCTGCTTTGTAGATCTGTTTTACAGGGGATCGCACTGATAAATATATGGATGTGGAAGGAACTTCTTAAGACCTCTTTTGATAATGATGTGTTTTATCAGGGTCTTTTGAAATGGTGAGTATTCAGAAAAGTCAGGCCTTATCCTTCTTGATAAGGAGATGGTGTCTAAAATGCAACAGGAATCAAACTCTTTTGAGGTGGTTAGGTGTGTTTCAAATGTGGGTGATTTGTGTTGATTAGATGTGAGTCAGGTAAATGACTGTGGGTTGTTTTATTGTAATGTGCCATCTACTATTCCATTCATGTACTATTTATTTATGTTTATCTGCTCTCTGTTTTAGGATCATGTTTCCATGGAGTCATTACTGAATTCCGTGACACCAGGAGATGTGGAATTGACTTTACCTTATTCAGAGACTTTGAATGATTTGATCAACTACAACTCAGAACTTACTAATAGTCCTACCTTGTCATCTCCAAGCCCTAGTCAAGGGACAACTCATTTGGATATCAGCCACAAGTTACCAACTAAGCTCTCTAAAA